TAATAATCTTCTTCAGGTCATTTTTAGCACTCAAGTGAAACATCAATGCCACCAATAAGCGCTAACACACAACAAATGGGGAAAGGAGACGACTTCCACTTCAGTCCTAGAACGAGAACACACCAATAAAATTTCAATGAAGCATCCTGTTTTGCCAGATTATTGCACTAATCGACCAAAAATTCGATGAAGTGCTAGCAAATAGGGCAGTTATTCTTGATTTGGCGTAGGCAATTGTGATATGAACAGACGTCCGCCCCCATTTCAAGCAAAACTCCGCGTCCTTCTTACACAGAACCGGACCCCAAAGTAGGCTTGTTCGTCAAAATGTCATCCAGCTTTAAAGATTGCAAATAAACCAGGCCGAGTTTCGACTGTTTTAAGAACATGATGCAGAGTAGATGATCGAATTTGTACTCAGACTAGGGCTTCGCTACACTTACGCCGATGCCTTGTCCATCAGAACCGTGACAAACACCACCAGCGACTACATATGCCTGTACACATTGGGATCATCACCTCCTTTAAGCTTAAGCCAAAAATGCAGAATCTCAGGAACGAGACACCAGACAGGTCTGTAGATGTCGAAGACACAGCAACCAAGAAACACCTCCATCATCTACCAAACAACGCAAGGTCGCGTTATCAACCGACCATTAAGAACTGGTTCATGCCTCCCCAAACCACCAGATTAGTGCTCTCCGACTATTTCCCAGTCGATTTGTTCCATCTGTTACTCACGTCATGACTGAAGTGCCGTTTTTGCCGCAACCTCCAGGACGCACGCACACAGCTGCCGTCACTTCACATGGGTGGCTCATGTGCAGACAACCGACTTGGAATGATGTCTTCGTTGCCAGGGTTCTGGTATAAAACATGAAAATCCACCGACCACCCATGGTTTAGGCATTTTTAGTTCCCCATACCCACCCAACTGTTTAAGCGTGCGACGAACAGCTAGCGAACACAGCAACCGTAACTAAGCTTGTTCAGAGATTGATGTATAACAAGGCCATATAAACTGAATTGTTTCCTTGTACACACACGCACACTGCTAATGCATCCATAAATAATTTGAACCACACGCTGTCTACATATCTTCTCCTTCTTTCGGTCGGGCCGTGTCAGTGATCGTCGGCCCTGGTGTGGTTCTCTAATGGCATTGCGGCCTGCAACAAGCATTTCATTGGTGACCGATCGTTATGCCTGCACTTACACTTGCAACGACATGCGGTAGGGGTCCAAAAACCAAATTTTAATGCCGATGCCGCAGTAATATGTAACGACAACATACTCTACTACTAGATTATCCACTTTTAGACCAGTATTCCCACCCAGTACACGTTTAACATGGTTAAACCTCTTCTGCTGCCTAGTGGATGCACCCTCGATCGGTGCTTAACCCATCAGCCCAAAATTGAACTGCCGAATCTCATTGTAGGGGAACTGTCTGCGAAAATTTTGCGTGAAGCGGGTAATACCTTTATGTGAAAATTACACCTGGACTACCTCTGCAAGATGAAAAAAACACATTTAACATGTTGAAGTGCCCGCAATCCCCTCCGTCGTTCCTAAAGCATAACTAAGGCCAAACGATTACATCCCATGTGCCTACGTGTTCTCACGCTGTTTCGATGTTGCTGCCAAAAGAGGCTGAGAACGAGCTAGGTCAAATTGTAATGAGATCAGCATTAAACGGGTTTATTGGCATCTACGAGACAATGACCAATGAGTGCAGTAAATACCTGGTTGGAGGAGTCAAATATGACACTTAACGCTTAACTAACCTTAGGTACCTGGGGGTTCATGTCATGATTAGTATGTGGGAGAGAGAAAGAAGATACCGTTCGAACACCAAGTGATAAACTATCCCCAAAATCGTTGCTTTAAAATGCTACCTGCTGCTTTAGCCGAGACAGTTGCTGAGGCTTTCACTCCACAGTTAATAGGGGTGGCCGTGGGTTAACTAATTCCTGGCATCCATTTGATAGCCGAAAAGACAAACATTCAAAACAGCATCACACCTAGAACCACATTTCGGACTCAAGGTATTGTGGCGAGGCCATGTCTTATACATGTAAAAAGCATTTTTGAAATATGCACATCCGCGAATATATCGGTACACTAAAGTCCTGCCTTTGCATCACACTCAATCTTCATGAATTCACAGCGTCTGCACAAAACTCGATTGAATTTGCCTGTAGGATAGTAAAGCAACCAGTTATAGTGCAAATTGTGTAGAACCATAAACTTTGACTAACATTGAATTACTGGGATGTTACATAATTATAAGAATGCGAACCGCAGTAAAAATTGACGAGGAAACAGCAGGCACGTCCTTTTAGAATGCTCTGTGTTTACAGTGAGCTGACATGAGAATCTTCAACCTTAACCCACATTTGTCCTCATCATGACGAAACCTGCTCCGGTAAAGCAGAGGTTTTCAGGCTAGCGAAATTTCCAGAACTTCCATCCTTCAATAAAATAAAACCCAACCTCCAAACACATATTAGACCGCCTTAAGTAAAGCCTATTTTGGATGTGATTAAACAGCAAGTCCGGCAAACTCAATCAGGAATCAATAATCGTGAAAAGACGCTATGTGCAGCAAAATCACAACAATACTCAATGGAGTTCTGAACGCCACTTTCCGTTTTGTCAGCTTGGTGAAGACTGAGTAGTAAAGCACTTATAGCGTGAAAAAAACGAAGAAAATCGGTTGACAAGTGAATTCGAGTCGATAAACGAACTTCTTAAATCCCAGTATTTCGGGGGCTGAATGACCAAATAAAGCTTTCGATGGTTGGATGTTTAAACCCATCAAGGGTGCACCAAAACCTCCATGAAAGTCGGAGGCACACCTAAGGGAAACCACTGCTCTAGGCTACTCAGCTTCCTTTGCACGTGACATCTGAAGTACAATCACATACGTGAAATAACGAAAACCAAATTGAAATAGGCATCACCGAGTGGTCAAAGGTATCATCTTCATGAGTCATGCAAGTACCGAGACAAACTGCACCTCTGGGTATAATTGTTTTTAAATTTTGCATGACAATACAATGCAGCCAGAAATCGAGGTACAAAGTATAGAAACAATCTAGAAGGATTAACACCGCAAACAAGCCTAACAAGTTGTCAAGCAATACTTAAAGGTACCACAAGTACACTTGTATCGTTTAAGAGTCGCACACTTTCTCAAGTACACTGTTACTTCAGAGCTTTTTTATCTCGATAAGTGTGCACAAATCACCCCGCAAACGTCATGCACAAGTTGATTAGCAATACGTTCAGTTCGATCACAGGTACATGACTTTTGCATTGATGACGAATATGAAGACCACAATTAGTTACGACATTTGTTGAATTTTTACTGGTTTTAAAATCTTCAGACTCCAAGTATACTTGACTTCAACAAGACGACTAGAAAAGCACCGTCGAGAACCGCATTAGATGAGATTAATTTATTCGAATGAAAATCGTAACATCACATTTAGAAAAATCATTTAAATTAAATTAACGAACAAAGAACTTACACTTCTAGCAATGTAAACCGAATGCTAGAGTGACGGTTCGGGTATTTCGAAAGCAAGACACCCTTAAATCAAATGCGCTTCAGTGACCCTGTCAAGGGATCATCGCACCGAATATAATCACCAATTGGTTCTGGGAGCATCGAGTACAAAAGCAATTTATAGAGGGGTAATACCACAGTAGGAAGATGGCAATTAGTGGAATTAAAATATACAACATGTGATTTTTGTCTAATCACCCATGACGTATACGGTGTGATGACACAAGGAAAGTTCATGGCTTTATAAATCGATTATAGCTATAAAAATACAAAACCGACCACCTGAACCAACAAAGATAGAAGGGTGACAGGAAGCCCCTTAAGGACGAAATCTGAACAAAAGTTAGACTTGTGTGGAGTGGTTTGCCTGCCCAGAAGCTTTAAAATAAACCCGCCAAATATCAACTTATCAGGTTAAGTTATCCAGACAAATGTTAATGATGGCGCTGAATTCAACGCACTCAAATCCAGGCTTTTCCCACAACATATATCAAATTCAAAAGCGATTTGTATTATTACAAATAAGTTAGCTTCATAGTTTAATAACAAAAGCTGAAGGCTGCCCCTAAGTCAACTCCACAAGTAAGATAGAATGAACATACATAAATTACAAAGAGAATTAATTCAATAAGTAGTCTTAGAAAAAATACCTCAGTTCAAATGATAATAATAGTGCCTCCTTTTACGTTCTGCGCTAAGAAGAGGCTTCGTCAAATTCCCGGGATAGGGAAGATAGGTAAACATTAGACATATCCTTTCGGACCCGATCGGCAAGACTATTTGCGTCCGAAGCCGTCAAACCGGATGTGGAAACAGAAGGCAATACAAAAATATCACAAACACCTATTTGTGTGTTGAAATTTGGTAATGGCGCTACCTCCAATTGCAAGCCTTTTTGAAATATCAAGCCCAGAATAAGGAGCTATTACAACAGGTTGGATAGGGACCTAGATAGACAAATAAATGTAAACGGAGGAATGTCCAACGAACTTGAGCTTCGATGGCGAGGTGGAATGCGCCCTTTTTGAAGGGAAGCAGGCCACTTTTTCCATCTCCTCGCGTACCTTCTGGAAAAATAATTACTGATACCTAGAGGTAAATTAACACTCAAAGATTGTTTACTTTTTCGTTCTGAATGATTTTTGCGAGGTCTTTCAGCTTGTGTATACTTCCATCACGATTTGAACGATCAATAAGAATAGCTTTAAGAAACCACACAAGTAAGCCAAAAGAGGCATACAGAACAATTGACCGTTTAGCTACAAAGGTTGACCGTTTGGGCCAAACGGGTATAAGAGCTGAAGGAGTTAAGGAAAGACAAAGTACCTGGAATGTCCAGGGCGCTTTGGTGGTTGACGACCAAGACACAGGGTCTGTCTCGAATGCGATTTCCTATCCCATGAACATGGTGTCGCATTCCAATAATTCGAGCAATAGACTGCCACAATAGTATGGTATTACTAAGAAAACTAAGTAAAAGCATATATAAAGTTTTACAAACTGTTGCAAAAATTACGCCCTGTGAAGGTGAATTTAATACAGTAATACGAAGCTCCAACCAGCAAGATGCATAAAGAGGCAATTAGTTTAAACCAAAATTGGACTTCACGCAACACAACATCAAAAACCGAGGACGCCATTCACTAGGCTCTCAATGGATGCGCAGAACGCTTACAAAATCGAAATCTAGAAAAAGGTCTTCCAAAAATAACCTAAAATAACCCTTACTCCACTTTCGAAAATCAACTATTTAATTTCAGATAAAATCTGTTTTTTTCCCACCGAATGTTCAAATCAATGTAAGATGACCGCGACTAACACGAGATGAAAGGAATTAGCTTGACTATCGCGCAAACAATTGAGAGCTCAAGTATGGACCAGTAAAACGTCGGCCATAGCAAAATAAAATAAGACATTAATTCCCTTTTTAATAGAGTAAAACATATGCTGTTAAAATGTCAAGACATTGTAATGAGCAATTACCAACAGGGGGGTTGCTTAAGACAAAACTCTAAAGGAAATTGATAACAAATTGCACACTTTTTTCCAGAACGAGTTCTGAAAGTATGAAGATAACCAAAAAAGCTGCAATAATGTCAAGTTGTAGAATACTTAAAAGGGCCAATGCATTCATTGGATATCAACTCCTGCTCAAAGGCTCAAAAAATATATAGAGGAATCACCTGTCAGACATTTAACGATTTATAATTCAATAACTCAGTATATTTAAGTACGTCTAGCAGGTTTGGCTGAATGCAGAGCTATTGCGAGAAAAAATTAATTATTTGAATTGTGTTCGCCGAAGAAATTTTGCGTTTTTTATACATCAACAGGCAAGTTCGAATTTTAGTGTTCCAGTATCCCCTCCCAATGTTTATGGATATTAATAGACAACAAGTCAGGCTTACCTTCCTTTAAAATCTTGTTCGATCCGGTAATATAAGATGAATGATGGAAAGCTAAGTTTAAAGTTTGTCATCCGAACTTCCGGTGAACAGGAGAGAGGCAAGTGATGGACCATTTAAACCAAAAAAAGCTGAAGCGTAAATTTAGACGCAAAGTTGCAACCGCATAGAAAATAAAAGTGAATCGAAAGGTAGAGATATGTTTCCAGAAATTTCCGGATTAAACCACAATTCACTGACCTGTTGTAAAATTTTCGAACTTAACAATATTTAACCAAGCAAAATATAGAGATCGTGGCATATGACTACTCTAGTTTTTGAAAAATGCATAAAAACGGTTGTCAAAATATCTCTAGTGAGCATTTATTAAATGTCATGTTCAGTGTGAAACAAATATTTTAACATAGTGACATTGCACCTATGCAAATTATAAATATGCACAAACGGCACAGCGTTATGCAAAAAATTGCTTTCAATAGCAAAATGTTGCACAATTTGTGGTTAGTTTTAATTACAACATTTTTGAGCATTGCTTTAAATTATTTCGAGCGCGAATTTGTTCTGATTTTTTCCTTTAATTGTGGTCTCTCTAATGGACGAGTCGGAGTTTGTGGTTGTTGAAGAAGGTCATAACGAGGAAGTTAAAGTAGCTATTTCTGACCTAAAGGAGGCTGAGCAGGCATATAGGGCTGCACATGGTACTATTTTAAATTCTGATATAACCTCTAGATGCTCTGGTGAAGTCAAACATCCTATTGCAGGACACATTAAGTTTGACATTAGAGCTTGCTCTAAAGAAAATCACTCCCGATTTCGCATCCGATACGGATGAAATAACTAAGAAAATCAACGAATCAGTAATTTGATTGATTACTTGACCAACTCTCGTAGTTGTATTCTTCTACGGAAGCTGTTCTACGCGACCATGTTAAGAGTCTTTGCTCTAAATTAGTTGCCGTGAACGATGAATATGAAAAACTCGCCAAGAAATTCAAAGCCTTCAAGCCGCCAGAATCTTTCGAGCCTATGGTCTGTTTCTACCTCGATTCATTTTATTGTTAATTTTTAACCCTTATATTCTTCATTATCCCATGAAGTGCGTTTTACTAGGAAATCCATGTCATGCAGGGAATGCGCGGCTGTCCCTTTCGGCGTCAAGTCTTTCTTTACAATAGCAATTACGATTTGTACTTTTAAGCCTTTATACATACTCTAGGTGCATGTTTAAAAAAACTTCGATTTATCTCTTGATTAGAAGTTGTACAAAAGATAATGGGTTATTTCGGTTTCGTCGGCTCTTTTATAGTGTCAATGTCTCCACCACAATTGTTTTTTATCGTCTTGTCACTCGGATGGATTTATTTGTTTGAAGTCAGTAGAATTTCGTACTTACTGGATTTATTGGTAATGTGGTTCAATGGGAACTGCAAATCCGAATTATTCTTTGGAATGGTTTTTCCATAGCCCATATAAAATGCATTTAACAGCACAAAAAGTCGCGCAATCTGTAATTGACTTTACTTAAAATGTCAGTCATCAATTTATGATTTATTACAGGTGACTTGTGTTCGTGACTCAAAAATTGCAGATTACGTTGAACAAACAGCTCTCATACTCTTAAAAGGCAAAAATTCAGACATGAGGAGGTCCTTCACTTTTTACGTTTTTTCGCTGTCTTAACTCGGAATGCCAGATAACTACCGTGTATTAATTATGGAAAAAATTGCACATCTGATGCGTTGATGTCGATAAAAAATTATTCCTGATGTATGCAGGTTCGACATTTTAATCAACTGCGCATCAATCATTGAACCTCTTTATAGCCACATCGGGGTCAAATACGCAGCTGATTTCTGTTCAATGTTTAATTAATTTCACAAATACGAACGTTTGGCTGAGATGAGGACACCGTTCGCGGCCGGTCGACCACCAGTAGCTCAAAGACGCTGGAACTCGGTTGCTATTAGGGGTAGTGGAGAAAGAAATACCGCATTTAATCTTCATTTTAATCTCTTTTTCCAGCCACATCTCGAGCGTCTCGCTACCATCCTTGATCAAATCGATGAACTTCTACCTAACGAGTGAGTAGCTCTAATTATGCTCTTTTAACTGTAACCTCACTTTTACTACTCGTTTATTTGGCGAGAAATTGAAGCTTGTGTATTTTAAGTGTAACGAGACTGCACGACTCAACTAATTCTTGTTGGTTTAATTGTTCGGGTCCTCTCACGACCGTTTCCGTGGAATAGGTATGCGTAAACAGAATTTTTTTTCTTGTGAAAATCATGTTAGCCATATTTTTCCTTAATGGTAAAGTTAAAGGGTATTCTTAGTAATTGTGTGAATAGACGTCTCTCATGTCACCTTAGAGCTAGTACTTCCATGTATTCAAGAGTATTTCCATCCAACTTTTTGACAAATTTTTAATGTGATGTTTTACAATCTGTAAAATTATACTGAATTGTGTCCAAAGTCATATTAACCTCCAGGACCGTGGCGAAGATCTACTTCTCCTGTTAATTTTAAGATGCGAGCCTAGACCTTCATGGCTGCAGGACGTAAAACAAATTGCTTGCCACCCTGCTTAGTGCTAGCGGTGTTGGGCCATTACTGTTGACGGGGTCTGCGCACCAACTGACACGTTCTCTCGTCCAGATGATCCGTGCGTACACATAAACCAACGATGGATTTAATTTTGCAGACGAAGGCTGCATTGTGTGTGATAGTTGCCGCGTCACCTTTAATGCGCAAGTGTTGAAGTCGTTGTACTCCAGTGCCTTGTGTCGTTGTGCTTAGTCCTTAAATGGTATTTTACAGTTTGTGAATTTTTACCCGCTTATGTTTTGACACCTGGAGTCGGATTGCATTGACACAAGAATTGTTACATCGTTACTTAGAGAGGATGAACTTAGTGAATTGAAAAACAAGTTTGTTTTCTGGCGGAGTACTTTACAATCTGCTGGCGACACATGACAGGAACATGCATGGCTTAAAAATCCGTTAAACACCCATGGGGAATCATTTGTGGATTGTATCAGCCAGCTTCGTGAGTGGCATTTCTAGAGGGAAGAATTTGAGGGGGCGACAGATCACACGAATATACCTTTACGGGTTTTTGGGAAAAATGCACCGCAATGACCTTGTGCTGGCTTAAAGTCCTGTATTGAGACTGTCCTGATTGCAGCCTGCCTGCATCTCCCATCTACTCGCAGATGATCATGTCGCCACACGTAGCGTTTACTATTACTTGGAACAACGTCTGAGCTGTTAAGGTTACATTCAATTCCCAGAGTGTAAACGCCAAAGTGGCATGTTGTATTAAGTGTCTCTTTCAGACTCCCCACGCACTTGCAGCGCTTCGGTGGTGTGTCATTGAGTTGTAGTCGCTGGCGAACACGCTTTCACCCTGGTTGGTCATTTTTTTACACTGATAACCTGAGAAATGTGACTCAGTTGCTCTCATATCGCTAATTAATGTCTCTGGATTTGACCTGACTGGAATCAGCATGCGCTAAGTATTCATACGGTGTTCTTTATATCGACTTACGAAATCTGCCAAATCATTTGTCTTTTCTTAAACAATATTGAGGGGTTCGCTAGATTTCCGTAAGTGCTGTTAGCTATACGCAGAATATTAGGCACGCGTTTATGGGACTTTATGAATCGCCTGTGTTAGTTTTTGGCGTGTGAATTGGCGTTTCGCAGTTTAATCTTCTTTGTCTTTTCCGCCCCCTCCTGCCGTTAAAAGTGACTGGCAGGGAATGCGGTGAACCACACAATCTACCAAATAATTACCCATCTTGAATACGCGACTGTAGGAGTCCCTTAATGGTACGGAATAAGTAAAATTGAAATGGTGAATGCTGTTGAAGAAGTGGCATAGAATCGTCTTAAAGGCAATTTGTTAAAACTTTCTTTTAATCACTGTCACTTTCGATTTTTTACCTAAAAACAATCCACTAAGGCAGATGTCATCTAATTACCTCGTTTCATTCTCTCGTAGTTCGCACTTTGGTTCGCTTGTAATGCGTGCGCAGCCTTGTTAGTGTTATTTAATCGGCATGACGTAAAATTCGCATGGATGTGATGTAAGCTTAGCACTTAGCGCTATGTTCGCGGAAAGATTAAATTCGAGAGATTTACCAGCACGATGTTGGTGTGATTAGAACTCGTTGGGTGCTTTATTTTGCGTAGCCGTAATAATCTTAGTTGCAACCTCAATTCGGTATTCATGATTTGTTTAACTATCGTTTACGTCGAATTCAAATCTTCCAGGACCAACCAAAATTGTTCAGTGGGGCTGCCTGCTCTGAGACGAAATTTTTCTAAATGCGCTTGTTACACGTAGCTTATGCTCAGTAGTTTCAATTGTGTTATGTTTACCTTTGAATTCCTGAATGCATCACGTTCTGCCTATCAGTAATTTTTGTGTGTGTGTTTTTAATTTCAGTGCTATTTGAGTTTATCACTGTCAAGTTCTTGCGAGTGCGATTAACTGTTTGTAATCGAATCGAGTAAGCATGAAAATATGTGAAATATGCTACTACATAGTTGTTCCCGGCTTTTGCTGATCAGGCCAATCGGATCACTTATGAATCTGAAAATTCTCGATTCGTATACAAATGGACGCCGAATTAATTTCTCTTGTGTGGCTGATAGTTGCGTCAGAAAATATCATTTACGGGATCGACTTCTGCAAGTATTATGACAGTTGTGTATTTCCATTGATTGCCTGAGCAATTGTTAGCAAAGGAATTTTATTCAACTCCTTTGTTTGGCAATTGTCTTACATTTTTTGTGATTGTAAATTGCCCATAAAAGTGACTTTGATTTGACAAAATGCTGGTGAGTAACCTGTTCTTGCCTATTTGCCTATAGTCATCATGTAAATCAATATCTGGGTACATAATTTTAAATGTACATTATCGTTTTTTGAATTAATATCGGCATCAGTGTCTTCCCCTCATTTCTCTTAATGGTGATGCGAACTGCACAAATAGGCTTCACTGTTGTTGTTACTAGGTAGCTTTAAGTAGCGTAGGTCTTAAGGAAAATCGAGCCGGGTTCTTAAAAACACATCCAAAATTTTATGCAAAATATCCTGGTCACACCAACGCTTTCAGAAAAGCTCCTTCACTATGATTGATATGACTTGGGTAAGTTTTATGCCGGTAACAGCAAAAACATGATAATACAAACCAAATCTAAAGAAAATTTGCCTGAAGTGTGTTGTTTTTCTTTTGTGGACACAACGCATTTGTTCTTACTTATATTGAGGAAATCGCTTTCGTTAAAAGGCCTTCTCTATCCTAATTTTCTTTTTTTCCAATGACATTTGGTGTCATTGAAGTGCGGTTCCGTGTGCCTATTGCACCGTTATTCCTGTCGGTACAATTTAATGGGTTGGCATGAACGTAGCATCGGTTTTGTGGTGTAAAATAAAACTAACTTTTTACAACAAAATAAATGCAATCGATTACGTAGTATTTGCTTTTTTCGACAATCTTGCTATCTTCCAGGCTCAAAGAACTTTCAGCTACCGCATACATCACAGCAATTAAAATTCTGACAGACATGATTACTGGAAACGAAGAACAAAAATGAAAGTCCGGATCTTTAAACATTTTATGTCTTTTGTCCTAAAAATAGGTATTACGATAGCAAGTAGAGTAAACAGCAAAGGTTAGACAGTAAGTACATGCAACAAATAGAGAAACGCTGTCAGTGGCGGATTTGCGTAGGGCTCCGTCGAAATCAGTGTAGTAAAGCACCCTATCAATAAAAGACGGAACCGAGTACAATCCTATGCCAGCAAACTTAGAAATAAATCGTGATATGATGGTACAATATCAGGGCTATTATGCAGGGATTAAAACACGATCTCTGCTAATTGTTAACCAGTTACCGAAATGTGTGAGGCCTTGTATTTTTTTTCGCAAAACACAATCCCTTAGTGAATTATTGATTCCTAGCCTCTTTTCTTTGACTGCATCTTCCAGTTTCGTCACTGGTTGACAGTAAACAGCGGTTTTGATCGTTTCATGTCTTGAAAACAGACCAAAGAACTCAGCACCATCGCAATCGCACTAAATTGAAGGCATGGCTTTTTTGAATCAACTCAGCCATCAATGTTGTTTGTGCTGGTTCGTCACGCTTGGAGCCTAGACGACTACGGTTAGCCCCAATGTAGGGGATCCTTTGTTTGCAATCAAGGATGATTCCTTTCAAATGGGCCGCCTTCATTGCGTGTGAGGCGCACGTCACAATCGATTACTGATTCGCGGTGCTAAGCGAAGTTCTTTTAATTAGCGTGGAAAGGCGCGTATGGAGGAGCCTCACCACTGACGTATTCTCGAGCTTTGTGTGGGTGTGTGTGTGCAACATGTAGCAGCCGCACTGGAATCTCTAGCACGGTGTGTGACGACTCGATTTGGTCACCACCAATTTCTACAGGTCGACCAGAATGTAGGACAGTTTTTAGTGAAAATATCCCAGAAGGACATTCTTTAAGCAAAATGTGACATGTGCGTTCCGCTAGTCATCGCCCTAAACGCCACAGCTCAATGGGAATCTCAGCGGTTTTCTTTACGGATCCAAAAATGAGACATTTCGAGCACGTTCTTGTTTTTCACTTCATGTTAAAATAGACCCCTAGCTAACTGATGCATGCTAAATTGCATTTGAGTTACTTTTAAAGTAAGCTAAAAGTTAAATATCAATTTTTCAAAAAGTTAGAATAAAATTTTTACAAATTTGTATCAGAAAATTTAGGAGTGTTCTGCTTATGTAACAACCAGATTATTTATACTGTGACTTTTTGGCGTCCTGAGATGTTTGATGATAGTGGCATAATACATTTGTAGCGGCCGAGTTTGGCACCGCCACACAGCCCTATAGTTAACAGCCGGTCACAACCCGAGAAGAGGGAAGACAGAGAACGCGACCGTTTATCAGCGTCACTCCAGTCAAGTTCAGTCCGGTAAACTACTTTTTGTGTGTGCGTATCAATACGTGTGCGTCACAGGCTACTGCTAACATGATCCAATAACAAAGAGGGTGAGGCATTGATACAGTCGGGCAAGCGCACACGCGTCACTGACGCGCGGTAGCTGTCTGTTGACTGCAGTGCATTCACGGTAAAACGATTGAATTGTCTCCGCTCGCGCTTGCAAACTGCGTTCGCTCACGAATGCTAATTGTGCTGGCTTGCTGCTTGCCACACATTTTGTTTTACCGACCCCGGCCACTTGCCCTGGTGAACGTATAGTGAAAGCTGGAGGCTTCTTTAAAGGTTGAGCGTTCTCTAACCGTTCGGTACTCGTCATGACTGTTTTGTTGCTACGTCGTTGGCTGTGTTGGCTCTGATGTTTCTGGTAGTAAAGTCGTCGGTGATGTTTCCGAACAGTAAATTTGACATCTGTCTCGCTATGAATGACTTGCCCTCTCTTGCTACATGTTCAATTTGGTTTTTTTATTTTTCCTTGCAAGGGGTACCCCAGCTGAGGCTCCGAGTACCGACATTGAGAAGTTGTGCGCCCGCGCGGAAAGCATTAGGGATCGTGTGGGGCTTGCCTTGGAGGCCTCTGGTGATAAACAACTCGGTTTGTCCCCTAGTTACTGTTTTCATATTGCCTGCATTTACTATTTGATTCTTGGCGTACACGAATTGGTGCTCCCGATTACTCGGGGTGTGTGATGGAATTCTGATACGCTCTTCGTGCGTTAGGTTCTTCGCTTGGACTAGTGCTTTTGGTGCTAGGGTTATGTGCGTGTTCAGTTTTGTGTTGTTCGGTCGCGCATCTATGTGACCTCTAACTACTTAACGTTCTTGCTCCTGATTGGCACCTATTGAGTCGTTTGCATAACTGCGTATTCTTCGTGACCGTGTAAAGAAAACTGCTTACGGAGCCGAGCACAACATGCTCAGAGCGCTTTGTGGCTGCATTCACTAAAGTAAGGCATTTTTCACAAATCCTTTAACAACAGCCATGGCGGTGATTTGGGTTTTTCGGGCTCCCCTCCCTCGTCTAGGTTTCGACTTAAAGGTCGTGTATCTCCTTATAAACTTTTCGCGATCGTTTTTCTGATTTGCTCAGCTTTAAGCGCTTTCATCTTTGCCAGATACGAAACCCGAAGTCATTCGCAACGTCTTCGAGGAGCCGCGCGCCCCTTTGTCAGAATCAGAAAGCCAAATGAGCGTAAGTCCCAGCGGTTTTACTTTTCTATATTTCACCTTGCAGGTAGATTGCTTTTACGTTTTCACTTGCATTTTTTGGGCCTTTGTCACCACGGTTTGTGCTTTCTAATGCGGTTTCGCAAGATACTTATGACATCATGCAGTTTATATGTGAGAAATTGCGAAACAAATTTAATTGCCTAAATCTAATTTTAAATATGGGTTCACTGGTTTGGGCTGATGATGGTAGTGCTCTTAAGCAATGCTAATGTAACGCAGTCTTTTTTATATAATAAAATTCATTCTTTTTTCTCTTTTTCGACGCATGTCGACTTCTCTTCATTGCATGCCTTTTCCCTGTTATGAAACACCAGTATTTTTTGTCACATCACCTGCCCAGTTTTAACCTTATCCGCAAAACCTCTAGTGAGGTATCACTGAGTCACCCCCAGCACCACCAGCACGCGGTACCCACACCTTACTACTCCCAGCACCACCAATCACCGTCCAGACTAAATTCCACTTACCAACCTGACCCACACATTGGCAGCACCCGCCGTAGCTTATTCGTCGATGATGACGTTCAACTCCCCCTTGGGCACGTACAGCGCCTGAAAAAAAAGCTCATCGTCTCTCTCGAAGAGCGATCTAATCATGTGCCAAGCGACCTTCGTGTCTTGCCGAAAAGGATTCCTGGTGCGAAAGATCTGTTCGGCGGCACCCGTGATACCGCCTCGCAGATCACCTCTCCTGCCCCCCTCCCACTGAAAAGGCCACCAACTAAGTCCGAGGCCATTTCTCTCCGCAAGAGTATCGCGTCGCTAGCAGCAGCAGCTGCTCTACAGCGAAACGAGTCCGTGAGGGCTAAGGAGGTTATTGTCGATGGCTGCGGTGGTGAACGCATTCACGTCGTCGCTTCTCCAACCCACAAATTAGTGTCAGCACAAACACAGACTGAGCTGGCTGGCGCTTGCCCCTGGTGGGGGGTGATGTTAGATGGTCCTGTTTGGCGGCCGAGGTCCATGTCATTCTCAGCTGCGTCGTCAGGAATCGGAATGGACGATGGGAGCAATTTTCAGGAAGAATTTTCGTCGGTTTCCAAAAACTGTTGGGTCTGCTGCAAACACAGTGCTGCGTTTGCTGGTGGTGGTGGTGCTGGTTGTGGGATAAATCAACTTCAACCAGGAGGCATCGGTAGTACAACTCCTGATTTACTTAATGAGGTAGTTTATATCCTTATGTGACTCGCAATTTCCCACTGTTATTAGCAGTACACCTCTTTGTGTTTTTTTGGATTTCCTTTTGTGTAAGGTTTTCAATCAGGTACTATGATCAGTTGTGGGTTTTACTTGGCAGTTTCTACAATTAATATTTGCACCAAAATAAATGTCACGGTGTTCGTATTTGAGCTTGTTTACGTCATGACAAGCGAATTACCGCTCTAATTGTATTTGGTCTTTATTGAGTATACACAATAATGCGACGTAATACCCGAACAGAAAACCTGTGTTTCATATGGATAATTGGCCATAACTGAAACTTTAACGCTGACATGAAATGTACTCGTATCGTTTTTGAAGGTGTATTTATGGTAAGCGCCTACATCGCATATTCTCTGTACTTTTTATACCGACCATTGAGACAGTTCCAGTGGTCATTTTGCATTTCCACAATTGCATGCCAATTTTGACTAGCACGTATGACTAAAAGCCGTAGGGTTATCTTGTATAGCCGCCGAAATCCAATAATAATGATTTCTCCGGCTAATTTTTGAAGAACGTTGTTTCTTTTAGATCAGTCGAATGATCCGAGAGGAAGTAACATCTGTGTTACAGGTAGAGATGGCTAATATTTTGGATCAACAGAGGGATCTAATTCAGCAGGCTATAAAGCCACTTGCTGAAGAAAATCAGGCGGATCGTAAGCCATCGGGATCTCAAGGGCAACCCCTCCAAAATTCTGCCAGTGCCGCTGCATACCCAGAATTTTCATCGTCCTCAGACACCCCACTACGTGAATCACAGTTGCAAGTGAGTGTCTACGTTGTACTTCATTCGTACTTGTTTCACAAAGACTCAAGATTCATCCAGACCCGTGCTTGTTTACTTCTGTCTAAAGAGCAAAATTTTGTGCCTCTCCCCAAAAGCAAGGCTAACGCATGGTCTCGGCTACTTTGTGTACTTGTTGCAATGTAAAACGAGTTCGTTAAAATGGCGAAGGATAAAAAAGACAGAAAGTCCTCGATTATTTTGGCGATATCGTTTTTGAAGCTGCCAACAGATTCTTCAACACTATCGCTAACTGTTCTACGGTAACTCTAATCGAGATTTGCATGACGGTTGGATTGAGTTTTCAGCTGAATGATTACACGCCTTCGACGGTATATGAGAACCCCCAGTATAGGTATGGGCTTCCGTGCGATTGTATGTAATTTAATCACCTTGTGCTTCATGCACGTTTCTCGGTTGGTCTAAACTGGTTGTGGTCCTTAGTAACTAGACATTTTGCTCATCTAGTGTATGAACTCGGTAAACAGCATTATTAATATTTGCTTCATGAAACCCCACTACCGAGATGAGTGACATTTGTCTTCTTCCTTCCCTGACATTTCCTCGATCATTTGATCTGTTTGGATTTTCTGAAATGAATTCTATGGCACTGCATGTGCCTAATTTCCCTGAGATTAACCCCCTTCGGTTTGTCTACACGAACTCAGTGGAAATTTGATGTTGAAGGTAATGGAGCTATTGCAAGTTTTTGTAGGGTGAATTCATGTTTTTAAGTGTGCGTCCTGCCGTTTTACGTGGACTCCAATCTCTGTGCATGCATCATAGGTTGTATCACCTTGTTGTTATTCTACACGGTAAAGACGATTACAACGTCAACCTCTTCCTAGCTATTGTTAGTTTCTGCATGACCTGAAAACCACGAGCCACACTCATGTTTCCGGGATTACGCAATATCCAGCAGAGTCACTTTTATTTGGTATTTTTTTAATTCGAAGTAGTTCAAAGTATCAGTTTTTTCTGTCAAATCTCTCAATCATTTTGAGCATGAGTCGGTGGTTCTTTTATACTTGCCAGGCTAACGGTGAACGAAGCAAAACACGGGCTTTAAACTAGTCCACTACTCATCGACTGGCGCATTCAACTGATTAACAAAGTGTCAACTGTTAATGTCAAAATCTACTCAGCCGTAATTTTCTAGAATTTTGCCGCTATATTCCATAATGTTGACACAACAATCCTCTTAATGACCACCTACCTCAACAATTCTTCTCATCCGAACCCGCCAGGCTTTTCCAGTGAGCTGTCGCATAAACCTTAGCAAATGCTCCCATCTCAGAACGCGTATACTACCTACACACCACACCAAGTAATGAGTTTTCAGGGCTCGATTGTAACGCGAAGTAGTGGAAGGCGAAATTTCGGCAGAAGAATTCAGGGTATTATGGTTGTGCATGAGAAAGAGAGCGAGTAATTACTGATGTTGAGTTGAGAATTGCGACATCCTTTGGTGGGTGATCTCTCCTCTTTACTAAATTTCAACTTATTTATTTTAGCAGCCAACTGCTCTGCCGCTGGAGCACTCCTTCCATAACTCTCCGAGCTTTTTGCCTGAAGAAGTGAGTTTTTGAAAGACTTGGTTGACACACTTAAGGAATGCATTGCGCGAATATTGCGGTGGACAAGTATCTACCTTCCATTGTTGTTTTGAGGTCCGCTCGTAGCCCATTCAAAGCCCTCTGTTCATGTAGATATTCTACTTTTTGACATCGTTTCTCTACGTTTTTTTGAACGCCACCGAATTGAGGAATTAAGGACAGTGTTATTCGCCTGACTTGAGGCCGCGATCATTCTGACTGAGCAGTTGTGCCAACCTGTCCTTAAACACAAAACTACTCATTTTTTGGTTGTACTTAATTTGGACTCTAGGCTGTGTTTGGCGAGACAATGAGGCAGGAGGTGTTGCTTAACTCGAAACATGTAGAACATCTAGGTTTGAACACGTCACGAATATTAGTCAAATGAAATGTAATGTATTTCAAGTGGCAGTTTTGTATTTGAGAACACCCTTTACTGGTTACTTCTAACTTCAAATCGATTATTTTTAGCTATACTTGTTCTAATTATGCTCTAAAATACCGTAATTAAACTCATAGACACGTTTAGAAGGCCAGTACAGGTTGGCCAGAGCATATACTTCCCACGGCAGTGCCTTGTGGTATTGCTATCTAGCCTGGATCACAAATCAGAGGCCGAATGCGCAGCATGGACCGAAGTTCATGGAGTGCGATCAAAATTCCCAACCCCTAGACAATTAATCTTTTTAACGCACGAATCAAATCTCGAGTTATGAAAATAAATAAATAGGTGTCACGTTGATAGAGTAGACAACGGAAATTGGCTTGGTGGAAACTAGGCCACGGTGGTGCTTGTCACGTTGCTCAGCCAATTCCCTTAGTTCTTTGTCATGTAGTTTTGACAGAGAAGTAGCGCAAACATTTGTAAATGGGACTTTTACCATTCCTGTCTACTATCCGCTATAGTTTTGTGTTTGTGGAGTTTGACTTTTCAATAGCCTAAACGGTAATAATGAAATCTAGGTGTAACTGCCTATCTGGTTAATGGTTAATTACCGCCTACGCATTTTGATTCACACATAGGAGTGTTATGTTGAAATATGCAGACTGTAAGAAGAATAATGTGCCCGTTGATCACTCACCGTTTGAAGAATAAATCGTTTTTATCCTGCTGAGCCTGTCAGGATTATATAAGTACATAACCCTTACATACACGCGGAATGCGTAACTTAGTGGCAATGGAAATTTTCAAAGTGCATTCGTATTGACACCTAGTTTTTTGTTAAGAATTCCGATGGTCAATTCCCGTTTTAAACTTCGTTCTTGCCTCCCAACTACTAATACGTGGCCTTTACAGCTGGAGCAAAGTCTCTTCTACTCATATCGGTTTGGTGTAATATTTTTAAATTTTAAACATTATTTTGGGATTGCTGTGTCTAGTTTTATTTGTACTTGCTTTTCTATCCGGTCAAATAAACCTATCTGTTGAGAAATCTTCAAACTTCACATTTTTGGTGTTTATCCTGGCGTCTTATTTTTCCTATCTCTTTTCTTGCTTGGGCTAAAATTAATGATGCCCGAAACAGATTCGATGCTGACCACTCGGCCAACGTTTAATTAATGTCACAGTTTTTATCCCTCCTGTAGTTTCGTTTACCTTATTTTAAACCCATTATTTCCTCGCATTGCTTGAGGCCCATTCTTTGTACATGGCGATGTGCACATTTCTCGAGAATCTTGAAATGCCACGTTAGTTGATCACTGAGTCGGACTGTGAAACTTCAGCCCCTCAAAGGCTCGTCATTTTGCATAACTCTTTTCATTTTATTACCAGCCACATTTGGCAACAGCCTAAGTTTCTCCTGAATGCGTTTGTCAACTCTACTGCGTCATTGCTTCTACATACGGTTTACAGAATGAATATGGTATTGGCCGTTAAACAGACCTAGGACCTACACGTGGCCACTTTTTTATGTGATAATTTTATGCAGCTGACCTTGTAAATTCTTCACAATAGTAAAGTCGATTTAGTGATTTGTCCGCTAGAAACTGATATTGGCCTGTAGAAGAGTGATTCCATATAAAAAGTAACCACAAGTTTAAATTGGCTGATACGAAGTACGTATATTGCCAAAACTAATAGGTCAAACGGAAACCATTGTCACTTGAAATTGTCTAAACTCGTGTTGCGTGGCTGTCGGGTCGGGCGTTAAGAACTAGAAATCTATTTGCGAACTAGACAGGGTGGCTTGCGATATTCTGAAGTTTCGCTATTTCAATGATTCCGATTTTAATTTGTACCCTACATAGAGTGCTTCTTCCAATGCGAAATATTGGGGGAACAATGTGCGTCTATTCTGCGACTATTCACTGTTTGAACCAGAAGATTTACCTTTCTGAAAACATCTGCTGTCGTCTTCACACTTGTTCTGTTTTTTTTCCCGCCATTTTCGGACCGCGCCAACCCAAGCTGAGTAGATTTAGCTTTATGCAATCAGCTAAAGCTGTGTCGCCGAAAGCTTTCAGTTGAGCTGCTTGAAATAAATTTATAATTCATCAACTTGGTTTTTATTGCAATGGATTAGCACTCGAATGTGTATGATCCTTTCCGAGCCATGTTCACCCTTTCACTCTGCATTGTCGAGCAAATACCAGCTAAGTTGATTTACTCCCTGAGCGCAATCCTCGCTCGTTAATCTAACCTAAATTTTATTTCATTGCAGGAAACTCCAGTGTGTCCCAGCTGCAGTCTTCGCTGTTCGGACAGATTCATGCTTGAATTGCATCTTGATCAATGCTTGAAATAGATTCCCGCGCTGATTCATAACACTTTCTCGTCCTGCATTGAACCGATAGTGAAAACTGCTATATTTTTTACTTTTAGCAAACTATCTCCTAACCCCAAGTTTTCGTTTCACAATTTCTTAACATTAAGTGACTGTAATTTTTAACTCTGGAACACATTGTTGTCAACTTATCTTGTTTTTCGGGCCTTCAAGGGTGGTAATGCGTACACTCGTACCTAATATGTCGTTCGGTAAATTCGTTTAGTGAACTATTCCAACCAACGTTCTATTTCATAGGAGAACCGACTTCTCTGATGCGCCTTTGGTTGGTGCGTCGTCTTCAGCACACATTTGCCAAGTTCATGTTCTCAAACACTTGACATGCGGCAAAGGCTTTTGTACTAATTCCAATTAGAGTTTTGTTGAGGATTCAACATCCCAAAGACTATAATTGTCCAGATATTTATTTTTTAGAATATCAACTGTGTTTTATTCACACCAAATTTCTTCCCATTGAGTTGGGTGTGAATCGACGTCGATAAATTAAACACTAGGAGACTCGAAGCAGCATGTGAGATTGTGCGAAAGGCCTAACTCACCTAGCATGACGTGAAAATCAAAAAATTAACTTTAACCATTATACATCGTAGATTACCCGAACCCTTGTATGACAGACTGGTACAACAGAACAGGCTTTATTGACCAATCACAAGCCAGAACTGCACGTCAGGCGCCGTCCATCCGAGTTCACCACGCTGCCCACCACTTACTGCTTCTCTTACGTGCCAGTCTCTGATTGGCTGCATATCTTCCTTGCATTGGAACGCAGAGACGGCGAATTGGCTGAGGCCGACGTTGTGTTTGTACGTCGCCACACCCACCACTGCCATGCCAACAAAATGCCCGTGGTGAAGGGCAATGCCTAAATGCTCACCAAAACCTAGAACAAACACTTACCAAAGATCTG